ACTAGTAAGGGGGTGTCCAGCTCCTGGAGTGCTGGTATCTTCTCTGCCAGTGGCCAAGTAAACAGGGTGACATGAAAATAGGAAGTTTATCTACAATGGACTCTTTTGGTGACAGTCCGAAAATCAGCCATGGGGAAGAGGGCTTTTCTGTGGAGAAAGAGGGAGCCACTTCACCATGACCCTGGGCAGGTCCTAAATAAGGGTTAATGAAGTAGCTCCCAGTAAAACAGGGAGATGCTAATCCAACCACCCTAGGCTGTTCCTGCCCTGGTTTCTGCTCCCTGCCCCACCAGTCCACCAGTTTCCCACCTTTTGTCCTTCCACCTGCAACCCCCATCACATGCACAATAAAGAGAAATAAAGGACAGGAATGTGGGAGGACAAAAGACGACCTTAGGTGTAAAAGGGAGAAGACTTCTGTTTTCCAGGGACTTCTCCTTTCCAGTCCCCTTCTTCCTGGGGGTGGGGGTGAATCTTTTCTGCTCTCCCTTAATTGAGCCTTCCACTTTCCACTCTCCACGTGCTTCTCTGTGTTATACTTCAGCATTTGGGGAAGCAAGGACCCGGCACAGTAAACACGGGTAACACTGTAGATCCTGACCTGAACCTTGGGCTCCTCCTGCCTCAGTCTCCCCAAGCAACTTCTTTTGTTAATAGTCTTTGTTTCTGTGGTGGAGTTCACACCCAGGGCGTCACCCATGCTGGGAAAGCAGTCTCCCAGAGTCATAGCTCAACCCCATCCTCACCAAGTTCCAAGCAAAAGCTTCTAACTGGGATTTTTTCCAGCCCAGCAAAGGCACCCCACCTGAAATGGGCTGGGACCAAGGATCTGTCACTCTAGGGAATTTTAGGAAGTGATTGGATAACATTAGCTGTCAGTCATAAGGCAGAGGAGTTCCTGGAGGCGGCCCATTAGGGTTCCTGGGGTGGAATTGTCCAATCAGATTCTTGAACAGAGGGCAAGGGGGGGCTTTTGCAATCTCTTGGGCTTTTTCTTTCTCACCAATTCCGCTCCTCCCTTTCTGGGCCCCACGTGCTCTACTCAAAAGGCCAAGGTTATTCTGAGCCACCTGTGTACGCGAGATCTCTGGTGCCTGGAGGAACCTCGAGAACACCAGGTCCCCAAGGAAGACAAAAATGGTGAGTTTGTGACAAGGACTGAAATTTCGAGGCGGTCAGCACCTGCCTTGTGGCCCCCGCAGACGGGTGAGCTGCAGAGCATCGGGGAGTCGCCTCTGGAGTATGCCCTGGGTCTTTGTCCCCTGATCCTGGGAGTTGGGCTGGATGGTAGAACCTTGAAGTCACCTCCTGGCGGCTGACCCTAAGCCTCTGTCCACTGGTCCCGGGGGTGAGCTGGGTGTTGGTGCAGAGGGTGCACCCTAGTCCTCCATGGTATTTGTCTCTGGGCTTCTGCTCCCTGGGCCTGAAGGGTGGCCTGGTTTCTGAGGTCAGCTCAGAGCATGAGGCCCAATTCTCGCTGGCAGGTGGCCCTGGGCTTCATCCTGTGGCTTCCATTGTTGAATGGGCTGCTCAGGTCTCCTCTCCTCTCCCCTCCATGCTGCTGGCCCGCCCCCACTCTTCCAAATGTGTAGGAAGCAGGATGCAAATCCACTTTCCTTTTCCCTGTTCAGAGTCTGTGAAGGCTGCTGTAGGTCCTTCATTTGCAGTTGCCTGCTGCGTTCTAAAGTGCCATCTTCCTCTCCACTTCCCATCACTCTCAAATGTCTGGTCTTCTTCCTGTGTTTTAAATGAACACAGTCTATTAAATTTCACTTTTCCTCTAGTGAAGTATTGCAAAGAATATTCTTTTTTGTATTGGGGATCAAAACTAGAGAAGCTTTATCAGTGAAATCCTCAGGAAACCCCCCCCATTTTTGATTAAAAAAAGAGATCATATTCCACTTGTTTTAGACACAGTCCTCCAGTTTATGATCATCCTTCCTCAGCCTCCTGATTCCCTGGGATTACAGGCATGTGCCACTATCTCTGGCAAGAATAACACTTTTTTTCTGTTTCTGAATATCATACTTAAGGGGAAAGAATAGTCACTTGATAGCACACGGATCATGTAGTCAAATAGGATAATAATATCTGATTTATTCTCTTGTCGTTTATCTCTAGCCCTTTAAAATTTTATTTTCAGACGGGATCTGGCTATGTTGTCTAGGCTCGCCTGGAACTTCTGATCCTCTTGCCTCAGCTTCTCAAGCTGTTGAAATTAAAGGCACTGGCCACCATACCTGAGGAAAATAGTTTATTTTGACCCAAATATTAATGTCCATCCTCAGGAACATGGATTCAATTTATCCTGAATGATATATGTGTCCTATTCTGGAAGAAATTACATTTTTTTTAATAACATGGTTTGAACCCAGAACAACTTAATCATTGAGCCAGATCCTCAACCCATTTTATGTTTTATTTTGAGACATGATCTCACTACATTCCTTAGGGCCTCACTAAGTTGCTGAGGCTGGGTTTGAATTTAGCAGTCCTCCTGACCCAGTCTCTCAAGCTGCTGGGATTACAGTTGTGCCCCACTGTGCATGGCTGACAAGAACATTTGTAAAAGAAAGTTATGCATGAATACATTAAGCAAGTGCATTGGCAGGATCATCAGATGGGTGGCTACAGTAAAAAAAGGGGGAAATGTCTTCTGGAGGTCCCTTATTACATTGTTAGCTTTGGAAAATTGTGGTTATTTGTAAGGTAAGGTTGGTAATATATTCTGAGAAATTCATTTGTTTGGAGAATTTTGGACTAATACAGAAATGAAGGTAATTGGCTTTGAAAGACCCTTAGAGAGCCCAAGATAATTGTTGGCAACCATACAGAACCCTTATACATCATGATGGTCTAGTTCCCCAAAGTCAGGTGGTCTGAAGGTTCATTGATATAGAGCAAGTTCATAGAGAACTTCAGTTTACACCTGCAAAACTTCTGGGTTCTTTTTTATCTTTCTTAGTATAGACACCAAATCTGATGTTCTCAGCCAGGTTTTCTTTGAACACCTCAGAGAGTCCTATGTTCTCAGCCATTATCCTTTCTTGGGGCTGCCACCATGTGACCACAGCTGTCCTGTGCCCTGCATGGTACAAGCAATTTTAGGCCCTAGGTCAGCTCCTCTTAGAGGACAGCCTAAGTTGTGAGGTACAGCCTCGTGGGGGATCAGCTGAGGTCTTGGCTCTAAGGAATGTCCTGGAACAAGCTTCATCTAGACAACTAACTTCTTGGAACCTTGTTTTCCCCAAGCCCTGTTCCCATTCCTTGGGGACAGGTGGACAGTCAGCCTGTGGATGCTGGTGCTGAGGGGCCAGGTCACCAGTGACTCCTGCCCTTTAAGTCTCTCACAGTGTGAAGGAGCGAAACCTCTCCCAGAGCATAAGGACCACCCACCCCAGTGCAGAGCTGTGCAAACCTGAAAAGCCTCCTAGACTGGAGTCATGGTCCAGGTCCCTGGGAGCATGATCCTGGAGGCTTTCAGGGAGCAAGACCAGGAAGGAGCATGTCCCAGCTGTCAGGGCCCTTCCCTGCCCCTTGAGCCTGACACATGTGTGCTCCCTCAGCACCAAAGCTTTCTGTGTATCACTTTGAAATGATGAGCTCACTTATCTGAGGCCCAGGTTTAATTATTCAGAGCCAAATGGGATGGACTATTATTAAAGAGGCAAGAAAGAAGTGAATTTTAAAAAGTCTAGTTACGTTTCCATTGTTAAAATCCACAACTTACAGCCAGGTACAGTGGGGCACACCTGTGATCCTTCCTGCTCCAGGATCTGAGACAGGAGTGTTGCAAATTTGAGGACAGCCTTAGCAACTTAGCTGGACCTTACACAACCTGGTGAGACTGCATCTCAAAATAAAGTATAAAAATGACTGGGGATGTGGCTCAGTAGTAAAATATCTCTGGGTTTAATCTCGGGGGAACCAAACCAAAAAAAAGAAAAAAGAAAACTCCTAATTACCTAATTTATCTTTTTCTATTCTTTTTTTTAAATATTTTTTTTTATTTTTTAGTTATTGGCAGACAGAACATCTTTGTTTTGTATGTAGTGCTGAGGATCGAACCTGGGCATGCCAGGTGAGCACGCTACCGCTTGAGCCACATCCCAAGCCCCTATCTTTTTCTATTCTTGAGTGTGCATAGAAAGTTTGTAAAGATTCTATCTTGTCTTTCAAATTGAAATCCAACCCTAGATTCCAAAATGCCACATAAGATACAGAGAAACTTTGTCTTGCATTATTGCTGAAAAATAGTGGTGGATAAATTTTTGAATGTGATTTCATAAAAACTAGTATCTGTCCTTCACATGATTCCTGCAATTTCCTATGTATCACCTTTCTTTTATAAAGATAAGTACTATCAGAAGTGCTTCTATTAGCTCTGTACCACACAGGACGTTTCTAGGACATGTAATAGAGGTGCAACCAACAAATAAGTTAGGAGTGATGTGGGAACCTATGTTACTTCCTGTGAACTCCCCAGAGAAAGAGTATAAAACACCATGATGTTTCTCTTCTGAAGAGCCAATTTGTAGTTTTGGAGTGGGTGTAACAAATTGAGTGCAGGGCTGGGGGTGTGGCTCAAGCGGTAGCATGCTGGCCTGGTATGCGTGCGGCCCAGGGTCGATCCTCAGCACCACATACAAACAAAGATATTGTGTCCGCCAAAGACTAAAAAAATAAATAAATATTAAAAATCTCTCTC